TGCGCAGAGGCGCGCCTCTTATTGCGCAATTTTAAACAGAGGGTATACTAAAAAATGTTGAAATCAGAAGTTTGAGAGGGAAAAATCTTGTAACTTTATTCAACATGATCCCTATTTATGGTCTATACAAGATGCTTATATGAAGAAACAAATTACTACACAATAAAGAGTAATACAATCCTTCCTAATTCAACTGTCTAACTATGGAAGGCTCATAAGTCATAACATGAGGGAGCTTCCCACGGATTGCTATTTGCAGCCATGGGATTAATCTGGGATTGAAGGGCTGGGATTTAACACTCCCCCTCAAGCTGAGGAATATAGATATGTCATTTCCAGCTTGTCAAGCATTTTGAGAAAGACAGAGTTGTCCAACCCTTTGGTAAAGATATCTGCAAGTTGATTATTTGATGATACACGGTTGATGCATATTAGACCATTGTCTAATTTTTCTTTAATGAAATGCCTATCCACTTCTATATGCTTGATCCTGCCATGTTGGACTAAATTGTGGGCTATGCTGATTGCTGACTTGTTGTCATAATGTAGCTTCATGAGATCATTCCACTTGATCCTTAGGTCTTCTAGAATAATTTTGATTCACAGTAACTCACATATTCCCAAGGCCATAGCTCTAATTCTGCTTCCGCACTTGATCTTGCCACCACATTTTGTTCCTTGCTTCTCCATGTAATTAGGTTTCATCCAAGAAATGTGCAGTATCGAGAGGTAGATCTTCTACTACTGGTGATCCTGCATAATCAGCATCCGTGTATTCTTCTAGGGTCATTCTGCGATCTCTTTTAAAGAGCATCCCTTTCCCTGAGTTTCCTTTAAGGTAGTGCAGTATCCTGTCTATCGCTTGTATATGAGCCTGCTTTGGATTCTGCATAAACTGATTGACCATCCTTACGACAAATGCTATATATAGTCTGGTGTGGGAGAGGTAGATTAATTTTCCTGCAAGTCTCTGGTAAGACCCTTTATCTACATCTAGATCTTTTTTTGCTTCCCCAAATTTAAGATTTGATTGTATTGATGTTGGTGCTGGTTTACAATCTAATTTACCAATTTCTTTTAGAAGATCTTTAATATATTTTTGCTGTGAAATAAAGATTTCTTTGCTAGAGTGGACTACTTCAATTCCGAGAAAGTATTTTAGTCTACCAAGTTCTTTGATGTGAAATTTCTTGGTAAGACTTTTCTTTAAACTAACTTTCTCCTCTTTGTTATTTCCAGTCAAGATAATATCATCCACATATACTAATAATATTGTGACTCCTCCTGAGTCTGAATGTTAAAGAATAATATATGATCCATTTGACTTTGTTTATACCCATTAAGAAGCATGAATTTTGAGAATATTCCGAACCAGACCCTTGGTGATTGTTTGAGCCCATATAAAACCTTTTTTAATCTGCACACCTTGTTATCTTCAAATTTTTCCTTAAACCCTGGTGGTATTCTATAAATATTTTTTTCTTCCAGATCCCCATGTAGGAATACATTTTTCACATCCAATTGTTCTAGATGCCAGTTGTACTTGGCTGCTTGTGAGAGTGGTATTCTGACAATGTTCATCTTGGCTACTAGTGCAAATGTTTCTTCGTAGTCAATGCCATATGTTTGACTGTATCATTTTGCCACTAGTCTTGTCTTATACCTTTCTAGTGTACCATCAGCTTTGTACTTCACAGAGAACATCCATTTGCAGCCAAATGATTTTTTTCCTATCGGTAGATTGATGATCTCCTATGTATTATTTTTTTATAGGGTCTGCATTTCCTCTATCATGGTATTTTTCCAATTTTTATCAAATAAGGCCTCATAAATATCTTTAGGAATATGGATATCTTCTAGTGTAACCAAAAATTTTTGTATGAGGATGAGAAGTTGTTGAATGATATAGAGTTGTTATAGGGTATAAGGGAGGTGGTGGGTGAGCTTATCTTATTTTCAGGAGATTGTTCAGATTCTTGAATCTGCTTTGGAGCATAAACTGAATTTGTACGTCCGGAGTTTACCTTCCCAAATCTAATGACAGCTTTGTCTTTTGTTTCCCTATCTTGGTTTTCAAGTGGATTGCTTTGAGACGGTGGAGGAAGGTCGAGAGGTGTTAGTTCATTTTCCTCATCTTCCTCAAGTGCAGTCTCCCCCTGAAGATGTGGCTTGAAAAAATAAGAATTTATTCATCAAAGGTAACGTTAACAAAGACAAAGGTTTTTCTTGTAGGTGGATGATAACACTTGTAACCTTTTTGGGTAGTTGAATAGCTAATAAAGATGCATTTGAGTGCTATTGGATCTAGTTCTCATCTATTTTGACTGTGAATATGAACGTAGGTAGTGCACCCAAAGATTTTTGGTGTAAGGTTATGATGGGTTTGAAACTCAAGGTAAAATGATGACTAAATTTCCATTGGAGTTTTTGAGTCCTAAGGATGTTGAGCGTAATCGATTTATGAGATAAGTTGCAGTTAAGAGGGCTTCCCCCCAATAGGATTTGGATATATTGTAGTGGAATAGAAAAGCTCAAGTGGAGGCTAGAAGGTGATCTTTTTTTCTCTATGCAACCCCATTTTATTGTGGGGTGTGAACACATGAGGACTCGTGGATGATCCCTTTACTTTGGAAGGAGTAAAGGGTTTGGTTGAAATTGTCTTTAGCATTATCGGAGCGAAATCTCCTTATTTTCAGTCCGAATTAATTTTGGATCATGGTATGAAAAATGGAAAGAATGGTGCTAACATGGGATTTATTTTTGAGGAGATAGATCCAAGAGAATCTACTACAATCATCAATGAATGATACAAACCACCGAGTATCGAGCCCTAGAGATATTGGGGATTTTTTAGGGTCCTCATATATCACTGTGAATAAGATATAAATGAGTATCACATCTCTCATTTTTATTTGGGAAGGAAGTTCTTTTAAATTTGACTAACTCACATGTTTCACAATGAAAATATTTATTTTTAATTTCTACAAAAATTGTGAATACATATATCTTAGGACATCAAAAGATGAGTGTCTTAACCTATGATGATGAAGCCAAATAGTATAATTCTTATCAACTAGGGATAACATAGAGCTGCTATTTTTAGATTGGTTTAGTTCTTCCAAGTAGTACGGTCCAGCTTTCTCTATAGCAAGTCTAATCTTCTTCCCCGATATTTGGTCCTGAAATAAGCAATAGGTAGAGTTAAATAAAGCTTGACAATTATGATCATTGATAAGTTTTTGTATTGAAATTATGTTTGTGGATAATTGAGGTACGTGAAGCACATTTTTTAGGGTGAGTGAGGGAGATAATGTTATGTCTTCTTGGCCTGCTACCTTGGTAGGAAAACCATCAGCGGTAATAGTTTTCTTGTTGCTTGGGCAAGGAGTATAGTTGATGAAGTGGTTAGGTGAGTGGGTCATGTGGTTTGTGGCTCCTGAGTCAATGATCCATAATTCCTTTAAATGATTTTTAGAGACACTTAAACTAATAGAAATTGGAAACTTACCTGAGAGTGCAAGTGAGGAAGATGCATTTGATTTTTCAAGAGATACCCATTATCATCATTAGTATTATCCTTACTATTTGAGATTGGCCTTATGTTGCCTTATTCTCATTCAATCCTATAATGTGTTGCACGAGGTGATAAAATCTATTTTTTTTTTCATTTTGCAACTCATTTTGAATCACTTTTTTTTTTCATTTACATTATGATATTAGGACCTTCAAATTCAAGATCAAAATCATTCTTTTTCCTTAGAACTATTAAAGTGAGTTGCATATATGATTTCAAGGATTCTTAAGTTCGTTTGCTGATTAATCAGATTCATTAGAAGTTTTTGATTAACTGGATTCATTGGCATGAGAAGATAATTGTGATTTCAAAATGTAATACTTTAAAATAGAATGATCTACATGGGTTTTAGAGGGATTCATTATGCCATTTGATCATCCCTATTTATTTTCAGTCTTGATGAATGGTTAAAATCCTCACATGATGGGATGAAGGTTATTGTTGTTGATGAATATTTAAAATATTATAGATTTATTGAACCCGATTCACGAGTTCTCTCTCTTTTTTTTATTACAATGTGATCTGAAATTTGAAGACTATATAAAGCAGCAGAGTAAAAATAAATTTGGGGGAGGGATTGTCATTTTCTCCTTCTAGGAGATATTATTATTGAAGTTTTTATTGTTGTGATTTCCTGTGTATGTAATCCCTGTTTCTTTTTTATTATTATTGAAGAGTACTAACAAAAGAGCACTGATTCGAATCTCAATAATGCTAATAATACCCAAAACAGCAGGAGGAATATGAATCTTATGCAACCCATGATTGTATGTGGTTGGAATGAGAAGGGCAATGAGAAAAATGTATTTGCAAAAGGCCAAATCGCTAAATATATCAAGATAATTGCAATTAATAAAAAAAAAAAAACTTGAAATTTTTTACGAAATTTCAATTTAAGCTTCTTTGGAAATGCTTTTCTTTTACTTCGCTTTTCGCATAACTTGGTATTGAAATATTTTTCATGTGTGATGAATGTGTTACAGAAAACCCCTTTACATTTCCCTTGCACCTTCGGCTCGACGTCATAGCCATGATAGACACTTTAATAGAGCGACCCACCCATCTACTTGTACTTAATGCAATATAGCACCATTCAACAAAGCAGCAACATTGCAATAGCAAATGTAGCCTTTTTTACCACCAACTACAAACCATAACAACAATAACGTAATTTAGATGACCATGTAATTCATTGTTGACGTGTAAATTAAGTTAGTAATATGTATCATATGCTTATCTTGTGATATCTGGACGGTTTCTGTCAACCTTAGTCTAAGGTATGGTTTGATTGCATATATAGTGGGAAGCTGTTCGAAGAAAAAAACTGTTGCCAGTGTTTCTCTAACATCAATCATGTGTGATCAAGTACTGATTTTCTAAACTTTTTTATTTCTCATTTTAGCAATGGGAATGGAGAGTTGCAGTTGTGAATAGATTGCTCTTGTCAGATCTTGTAATACTGCATTGGTTTCTTGTGCAGATGTCAGTAGATCTTAAGAGAGGAGAAACTCTTCCGATCCATATAAATGTGACTTTTCCTTCATTACCCTGTGAAGGTGGGTTAGGCATAAAGTTTGTCTTTTCCATCTGTTTATTGCTAAAGATTCTCATACATGTTGATTGAATTGACATCATATTTGCATTCATTTTTTTTCAGTCTTAAGTGTGGATGCAATTGACCTTTCTGGTAAACATGAAGTGGACTTGGATACTAACATTTGGAAGGTAAAATTCTTGTTGCAACAGTATTTGCACAATATGAGTATATGCGTGTTTTCTTAGTTAGGAAAATACTATTATTAGTTTTTTTGTTCTCTCGATCATTTTAATCCGCCATGTAACTGGAATGTAATATCCTCCATCTTTTGTGATATGGTATTATTAGATCTTTAAGACACACACACATTGAACATTTTGAATTAGAGTACTTAATGTAACTAAAATGTAGAAATGGGAAATGGAAACATGAGGTCGCCAAAATAGGAATCTTTAAATCATGAATAAGTAGGATATGATGCAGCGAGTGCATTTTGGTTAAAATAAAATCATAAAATTTAAATATAAAAAATATGCACTAGGCCAACCGCACAGTGGGATAAATGCTTGATGATGTTATTGTTGTTGTTGTATTATAAAATATGCACTAGAATGTTGGCAATAAAAAACTCAGCTACTGAGCAGCTATAGACAAGGAGAGCTAGAGACAGTTTATTGCATGCTTGTTGTGATTTTAAGCCATTTCTTTGGAGCTAATACTGCCCTTAGAAATTGCCTTAACCATATTTGGGCATGTTTTCTTAGAAAAAGCCTTCTCCAAGAGGAATCAGAACCAATAGATTTAGAATGCTCAATTTGAAAAGTCCAATTTGTATGTCTTTTCTTTTTTACTATCATTGTTTCCAATAGCTTTATTTCTACTATTTTGAGTTGGCTTTGTTTTTTGTTTACAATTCCACTATCTGAGGCACACCTTGAGCCAATTACGAACCCAAGGAGAATAAATAAGGGAGGTCTATGAAGAGGATATGATGTCAATAGTCATGTATTTTGCCATTCATGATGTGGGAGAATCATGGACTTATAGTTGACTATATTGATGATATATAAGACTATATTGATGATTGAGTCATGGGAGTGTAAACTCATCATACATTTGGGATATATATATATATATATATATATTTTTTATGAATGAATGCATGCTTCTATGTTGAATTAGGAATTTGTCTTATGAGATAAAAAATTGATTGCGATTGAATTTGGATGTCTCGAATTCAAAGCTAACAAATCATGTCTAGCTCAAATCATTATTGGATTAAACTAACCCATGATCAGATTTGGCTTGGCAAGAGATTAGAGCAAATGTATTTGAGCCAATCTTGAGCTTGAGGTCTTATCTTTAACATCCTAAATTGAATCTTTCACTATAAACCTATAAAGCCTATGTTGGATCTTCTTCATTAGTTTGAATTAGATGGCACGAAGTGGTCCTACAGTAGAGGGACATTGTTATGTTCAGAGTTGGCAGGCATGTTGTTTTCATCCATATGCTTAAAGGGAAAATAAATGGCATGATTTAGTTGGCATGATTTGCATTTAATGAAGGCCTCTACATGGGCAGACCTTGGAAAGTGACGCTATGAAAATCTGAGCATAAAGTGCTTTACTTTACCTTTTCAAGACGTCTTTCAAAGTAATGCAAATGTGTCCGACTGCAGTTTTTGCAATGGGAAATGGAGCTAAGAGAGAGCAGATGTAGCAAAGCTTTATCTCACTGGCAATTCAAATCAAATGATTGAGAGAAAGGGTGCCAAAAATTATTCATAATTAGTTAATGAAGTTGAAACCAATTTTTGAGGAGTCGGCACACTGATTATTAGATTGCCTGCAAACAGACTCTGAATAGCTTACCTTAGGTCGATTAAACATTTCCTTTTTATTTCCTTTAGGAGACTACTTGTCTTTCTTCATTTTTAGTTATCGCTAAAATGTGTTACTGCAGTTGGTTCTGTAAATGATGGTTCACGGCATACTGACCTGTTGTATCTGCACTGAAGCTCCATGTGGATAGCGAGGGTCACATTTTGGGTACTTCCGAGTTCTTAACAGATCTTGTTGAGAAGGAGCACTCAACACAAGAGCATGGTACTTGCCTTTCTTGATAATGTTCTATTCATCTTTTTCTGTACTTTCCTCGCCCAGTATGTTATTTATCAAAAGTTGATTTAATGTGATTTCATCACCTATAAATAATATCCATGATGAGAGCTAGTTTAATTAAATTTGAACAGATGGTGATAAAGATCATCATGAGGATTCCTCCCACAAGAAGCATGACCAAGGTGTTAGTTTTGACACTGATGCGAAGAAAATGATTGAGAATACGAAACAGGCAATTGAAAAAGGTCAAGGTTGCAGGGTATGCCATTTATGTATCCTTTCACGTGCCTTAATTTGAAGTTTAAACTTTAGAATCTTTGAGCTAAATTAGTATGGTTCATTTGCGTGCCAGGTATTTGGTGTACTAGATGTGCAAAGGGTCGCTGGTAATTTCCATATATCCGTCCATGGTTTGAACATTTTGGTAGCCCAGCAGGTTATTCTTTCAAATTCTTTTAACAGTTAACAATAACATCTTTGGATTGCTGAAGCAGTAAAATTCAAATACTTATAAACTTCTAGTGACGTAGCATTATATTATATCCAGGAGTATGTGTTTGAAATATGATCATCTTTCTAGTAGCAGGGTATTTTAGTTTAACTTTTAGGGTTATAGTTTGTTTCATTTTAAGGTTTGGAAAGTATTTGAATCTCAGTTCTGGATGTGACTCACATGGAAATGAGTCGCTGTTTTTTTTTTTTTTGGGGGGTTTAATTTTTAGTTTCTATGCTTATTTTTGCTGTGATGAGTTTCATTTATACCAACTCTCCTATTACTTTATTTTATTTTATTTTAATTATAAGTAAAGCTAATATTCTAATCGTAATTTTATTTATTTATTATTATTCTATTGTTGTTAGAATGAAAAGAAAATGAAGTTGACTTCATAGCCCTCAATTAAAATTCACTTCTCATCTTTTTGGAGTTTGAGTATCACATTCATCTTTTTTCAATAAAACAAACACTTGAACTCACTTCTGAAAGTAAGATCCAGCAACTTCCGGACACGCAATTACATGAAACAAGGTGGCCTTTGGTGGGAAACATTTATTTCACGGTAACCCTACAAATTCCATTATGTAAGAGCAATTGTACTTTTTTCCCGTCCTTTTTGAAACATAAGGTAAGAGGAAGGACAAAGTTGCTTCATTGTGTTCAACCATGGCGTGGTTATGATCTTTTTTATTCTCATTGCTTTGCTATGTTTTGAACTTCTGATGCTTCTATCCTCTTTTCATTCAATACCATTATCTTAGGACCTTGATTGATGTTTTTCATTTATTAGACTAAATGCAGCATATAACATCAGCCTTAATGAGTTTTTTTTCATGGATATTTACTTGTCCTTGACCATTCCTGATGACCTTTTCATTGGATTATCAACTTTAACAAATTGATTTGATTAGTATAAATGATGCAACTCCAAGAGAATTGGTTACTTGATATTTTGTGGAAGCTAGAATGATTAACCAAAAAGTGGACCTGATCACATTTTTTGTAGTTCAGTAAATTTGAGAGCTGGCTCATTTAGTTAATTTTTTATGAATATTTTTCTATTAGAATTGTTGCACCATTAAGAGTGAAATTGAAAAATTGAAGTCTAGTCTGCTTTTTGACTGTGCCTGTGGTATAAAAGGTTCAGTGAGTTTTCTTACGGCTTTTATTTTACTCTTATAGGCATAAGTAGGCAAGATATAGGAGGTTGTAAGAGAACCAATATGTTCTTTGAAATAGTCGAACTCATTATAGTTTGGTAATGGGAGTTAGCTGTTTAGAAAGATTTAAACTTGGCATGATTGTAGCTCATTTATATCCGACCCTTGGCTGTGTAGTAAACATAATTAATGTGGCTCGTTATATAAATAAACTTGTTCTAATATAAATTTGTTTATTTATGTGAATGGACTAGTTCATTGTTGTTCAGCATTTAATAATTGATCAATAAACTCTTGTTTGAGTATTTTGATGGATTAATTATTGTTTTCTTGCTAATGAGATATGGAAAACTCATTCATTGCAGACTTTGGATTCTTTTTTTTTTTTTTTTCATTCGAGTTTCAAATCATTGAGAAAAAGGATTCATGTAGCCGACCCCACGTAGTGGGATAAAGGCTTGATGTTGTTGTTTGTTGTTTGTCGAGTTTCAAATCATTAATAAGAGTACACAATTGAGATAATTTAGATCTATTGTTCAGAGTGATGATGAAATGATGGGGATATTATCCGATCCTTGGCTGAGTTTCAAATCATTAATAAGTTGGATGGATGCATCGGGCCTATTGTTTGATGCCGTGATGGTAAAGTACCCCTCAAACTTAAGGGCAAATCCTATTAGATGGTGGTGAGACTTGTAATGCTTTATGGCGCAAAATGTTGACCATTAAAAGAAAGCATAAAATTAAGTGTCGCAGAGATGAGGATGCTTAGGTGGATGAGTGGCTTTACTCTTAAGAGATAGAATGCGAAACAGGTATATATATGAAAAGGTTGGAGTAGTTTCAATGGCAAATCAGATTAGAGTCATCTTAGATGGTTTGGTCATATAAAACGTCGGCCTTATGATGACCGGTTATGAGAATAGATATATTAGATTTGGTCCATATTAAGAAATATAGAAGTAGACCTAATTCATTAGAAAATATTAGAAATGATCTTTTTTTTATTAGATTTAAATTAGAATTTGACTTGTAACAAGATACAATGGAGGAAGAAAGATTTTTGTAATCTATGATGCACCGACACTTCTCCTCAAAGAGGTGTGCAGTGTCCGACACAGTGTCCGACACGACACTCGTGATTTAAATTAGAATTTGACTTGTAACAAGATACAATGGAGGAATAAAGATTCTTGTAATCAATCCCACATACTGGAATAAAGGGTTGATGTTGTTGATGGTGATTCGAGTTTCAAGTTTTTTTTATGATCACCAAACTAACAAATTGACTATTCTCAATCTCTAAGAAACTTTACTAGCAAATCTATATTAAAAAGCTTGTTTGGTCACATCAATTTGTCTCATCTACACCTAATTAAAATTGATTTAAGCTTGAAAATTGAATCTAGAGCAATAAGAAAAAGAAAAAAAAAAGGTCTAACAAGATTTTAAAATTCAATCTTTGTTCAATCTTAAGTTGACTTAATTAAAATAATGAACCAAGCTTGAGCAAAGGAATGCCTTTCTCTCCTACATCTGTGGGTGCTAGATGTGTGGCACACACGTCTTAACATATTCGTAACCTGACTTGGTTCAAACACTAAATCCTGTAAATATCATACTTTTAGGTCGTACTTTTATTTTCTTCTGAAAGTTTCTTGTTATGAGTGTTTGTGAGTGTATTTCTGTTTTGCGATTCATCTTATTCTTTTTTTTTTCTTCTGATAGTAAATGTTTCTGTTTTACTTTCATATTATTCTTATTTATTTCACATCTTGATAGATTTTTGGGGTATCATCAAATGTAAATGTTAGTCACGTGATTCATGATTTGTCATTTGGTCCCAAGTATCCTGGCATCCAGAATCCACTAGATGGAACCACTCGTATTTTGCATGAAGCTAGTGGAACTTTCAAGTATTATATCAAGGTAAACCATTTTCATGCCATTTTTTTATTACTTTTAATGCATGCATGATAGATTGCCATATGCCCTGACGGTAAATGTGGAATTACTGCTGTATAAAGCTAGGGTTTTTAGTGTCTTTCCGAAAACCTTAAGGCTTGTGGTTTGTGATAGAAAAAAAAACTGTAATTTCCAATTCTTATATATGTAGATTTTATGGGTTGTATTATTCGTGCAACTCGACCCGGATAAAATGCCGTTCATTGCATTAAAATTGAAGCCAACTTTTTTATTTCTTCTTTGAGGCTTCTTCCACAACAACGAAAGCAGTTTTTCATTCTTTCATTTACTATGGGACTTCACTTGGAAAAGAAGATGTTCTATACTAACGGATTCGGGTTCATAATCATGGGTTCTAATGCACGAGATCTTGTAACACTTATCAATGAGGCCCTATCAATTAGTATTATGCAGAAGAAATCCATTATAGAAACTAATACAATTAGATCAGCTCTTCATAGAAAAACTTGGGAACCAACCAGCAAAAAGCATTAACGATGCAAAGACCAATGCACCAATTGCGGTACAATAGAGTTGTAATTCACTAGTGATTCCGGATGCTCGCCAAATCTGAAAAAAACCGGAGGTTATTTGTATTCCTCGGAAACCACCGCCCACATCCCCATTCAATATTTCTTGACCTACTATTGGCCAAACTACTTGGGCACTGGGCGCAATATAAGTAGAATGAATTCAATTTCAATGAAAAATGAAAAAAAATCTATAGAACTACAATGACCTTAGTAATAAGGCACATAGCTTGACTTATTTTCTATTTTGGTTATTTATCCTTTTAGGATTTGCAATTTTTAGTTTTCTTCCAAATAGTAGAAAGATTTTTGGGTTGCTTCTGGATGTTTCCTCATCGAGAATCAGCTTTAGTTGTCATTGAACCTTTTATATGACTGGAATTTTCAGTTCCATTCGGAGATTCATTTGCTTTATAAAATTTTCATAGATCTGTTACAAAAAAGGGGACCATTCCATTTCCTGTTATGGTTCAGTATGAGGAATTTCTGTATTGGATCATCTTAGGTTAGATTTGATGATACATTTGGAGCATATGCATTGTGATGCAGATTGTCCCAACAGAGTATCGGTACCTAAATAAAGATGTTTTGCCCACAAATCAATTTTCTGTGGCCGAGTATTTTGTTCCCCTAAAGGACGCAGACAGGTCCTGGCCAGGTTGGCATCTTGATTATGAGAAATGATTTTATATTTATCTACTCTCTTAATAATCAGCTCTGTTCTAATGTTGCAGCTATATTCTTCTTGTATGATCTCTCTCCTATCGCGGTGACCATAAAGGAAGAACGACGTAGTTTTCTACATTTCATCACTCGGCTCTGTGCAGTGCTTGGTGGTACATTTGCTCTTACAGGTAGTTGCTTCGTATGGCTCACATAAATGCCTAAAATTAAAACATTGTTCATTTTGAGCTTTTTTTCTGAAAGTTTTTATTTTTGTAATATTTGGATCAAATTTATAATTTCGGTTCATTTGGGGCTTTAATATTCTAATAGAGTTTGTTTTTTTATGATATCTGGATAATTTCCCATAATTTCTTGACACTTTAGTGGCTTCCTTCAATAACTGTCAACTGGTCAAGATCAAAACTTGGTTTCTTTATTTTTAAATCCAAGATCTGCTTAGGCGTTAAGTGATGGGATTGCCTTCCATGTTAATCCAGATGCATAAGGTGGAAGAGAGAGAGAGAGAGAGAGAGAGAGAGAGAGATGATGTAGACAAAGGGGGGGTCACCTCATGTCCAAAATAATATGAATTTTGACTTCCCTTGAGTCTACTAGCTCAATCAAAATTGAGCTGAAATTTTAGCTCATTTATGAGCTGGTCTTTAGTTCACTTATTGAACTAAGGGTTAGCTCATTATTAGCTAAGTTTTAACTCATATTTATCATTTATTTTAATGCACTTTTATTATAGTTTTTAATGTCTTAAAGTTATCTCTTGGGTTTCCAAAAAGGGCTTTTGGAATCCCAAGAAGTTGTTTGGTTTTCCCATGGTGGCTCCTTGAATTCCACCATGGCTTTTTGTGCTTTTGCCCCCTTGGATTCCGGCCGACTGCTGGTTTCCCGTGCCTGGGCTCCCTCCCGTGACCGTGGCCCCTTCGTTCCCGTGCGGCCTCCTTGGCTCCCACGGCTACCACTTCGGTTCTTGGGTTTGGGATGTTTTTCCGTGCAAAGCATTTAAGTTTTTTAATGTTTGTAATGTTTCGAATTCCTATGGGAATTTAATGTTAGTGTCTTTTGGTCTTCCCTTTCATACCTATATATATGGGAGATTTGTAATGTTTGAAGTTAAGTGAATGATAAGTTATTTTTGGAAGCTTTAACCTGCGGGGTTTGCTTTGGAAATCCTGCGGGCTCTTTCCAACCTTCTTTCTCATCCCCTCCGGAAATCCTGCGGGCTCTTTCCAACCTTTCTTCTCGGGCTTCTAACCTCTTTCGTCTCTCCGCAAGTGCCACTCCACATGTATCCCTCTTCTCTAAGTGAAGCAACTTTAGGGTGTCTTTGAGATCGAGTCGTGTTTGTGTTTATAATTTCTTTTAATTTCTTTAATTTGAAATGTAAGAGTTTGTTCTCTTCTAGTCTTTGTCGGTGTCGTTTCGTTTAAAGTTTGTTCTCTTCTAGTCCAGTCTCTTTATTTGTGGGCAAAGGGTATTGGCACCCCTATATTTTTTGCCCGCATCAAGAGAACATCGGTCGCCGGTGCCGGGGAAGCTTAGATTTGGATGTAAATTGATTTGGTGGGTTGGCAGGTGCATGGGTTTGTGGATTGGTGGGTGTTGAGTGGTGTTGCTGTTGATTGACAGAAGGCAATTTCCCGGTCAATGGTCCGTTGGAAGGAGAGGAAACCATATTGTGTGCAACCATCGGAGAAGAGGAAGATGAAAGATGTCGGAGAGGCTAAATTGAAAGATTATGAAGGCTTGAGCAATGGAGATAGCGTAGGCAGGAACAGAGATGTTTAGGTGCTGTAGCTGAGGAGACTTCGGCTTCGTTTGGGACGGTTTTTTTACTGGTTCTTAAAGCTATTTTTTAGTACAATATTTTTAATTTTTATAATAAAAAACTGTTTTAAGAAGTAATAAGAAAGCCGTCCCAAATGAAGCCTTAATGAGTGGCAACGAAGTGGATAGTGGCGTTGTGTAATGCCAATGGCTTTGGGAGCGGGGTGAGATTGAGTTGTTAATTTGGGAAGGATTTAATATGAAATATGTTATGGAAACGAGCTATTGTGAGTTAGGGTTAAGGCTATTTTCAAGGCTGCTTTCTTGAACCAACATTCTGATATTTTTTAGTACAATATATAAAATATATAAGAAATATTCAAAGGATTTAGTGAGGTTTTAATTGGATTAGGTACTCCTTGACCTGCATGTAGTCTGCCATCTATAATTAGAACAGGTTTTCAAATGATTGATAATTGGGTCTTAATTTTTATCTATTTGTGCCTACAATTGGGTTGTTACTTGGATCGAGTTAAAATTCAACAATTTGGCAGAGGAATACATTACCCTTCAGATATTAATGATGATTCTTTTGACCGTGCGATTTGGCAGAGGCCTACTTCGTACATTGCACATGACTTCTGCACTATGCCGTCAGTAAGCATGAACAATTACCGTTTGGCTATAAAAAGAAGAAACATACGTTAAAATGAGAGAGAAGCAAAGAGGTCAGTGGCTCTAGATGAAGCAGCACTTTCTACATTATTTTTTTTAGACATTTAGGTCAATTCATAACGCAATCCTCAACTTTTCTCATCCAGGACTTGGGACCTGACAACGACAGTGTTAGGAAAGTAGAGGTTGACGGCCTTTCGATGACCTGATTAGGAAAATAGAGGTATTAAATTTAACTTATGTTAAGAAAGGTAGAGGTAGACCTAAAAAGACTTGGTTAGAAAATATTAGACATGATCTTTCTTTATTAGATTTAAATAAGAATTTGACTGTTAACATGACACAATGGGGAAAAAATATTCATGTAGCCGACTCTGCATAGTAGGATAAAGGCTTGATGTTGTTGTTGTTGTAGACATTTAGGTCAATTAAGGCTAACTCACCCATATCACATACATGAAACTCGAATGTAAGATTTTTTGGTTGATAGTCAAAGCTCTCAACTAACAGAATAAGATGAGTTGCATACATTATTTAAATCTGAAGGCAGATGCTCTTGGAAATACGTGAATTCGTGTTGGAGAAAATAACATGGTTTAACTTTAAACATTTCTTTGGTATTTACCTATTCTCTTTCCTGTTGTAGACTGACTGATTTTTTATGCATCAACAACTTGAAAAATGCGTCTCATATAAATTTCAAAGGAAAAGCACAGTAACCTTAACTTTTTATTAATGATTCTTTTGATTAAAAGAGTGCAAGTATTGCTCATCAAGATGCTTCTTGCTTGTAGGAATGCTTGATAGGTGGATGTTCAGATTCCTCGAGTCCTTCGCCAAACCAAAAGCTCGAAGCACCATGCGGTGATTGTTTCGACTGTTCAACTGAGAAGTTTACTCTTATTGTCGTTCATCGCCCTTTCAGGAATGAGCAAATTCACCAGGTCGGGCTGATTTATGTTACAGAGGGTTTTTTGCTATCTATATATTTAACTACTGGGTTTTGGTTGTAGTTTTATTGATTTTTGTGCAATATTTCCCATTTGTTTTGGATAGTTTTCTAAGTACCCATTCTCCAAACCTGAGTTGTTATTAAACTTTTTGTAGAATGTCAATTGTCGCTTATTATTGCAGGGATTAGAGATTTCAAAGGAGAAAAGAAATTTTTTTTTTTTTTGGAAATTTCTAAAAGTATTTTGGAGTATAATGCATGAATAATTAAATAAATTTTATTTTATATTTCTTTAAAAATAAATCTAAAATTTTCAGACCGTCTGATTTGTCTGGTGTTAATGTTAATTATAGTAATGCCACTTGAATGCACTGTTGAAGCATTTTTTAAGCTTTTCTAGAATAGTTGATTGAAGGTGGATTGTGTATTGAAGGAAAATTTATTTTATGCGGATGCCGAACACTGTTTGTAGATCAACTAGAATGCGCTACGTCAGCTCCTTTCCTTGTCATCTCACCAAAAATAATCAAAGCTTGAAAATTGATGTAATCATATAATGATGATGTGCTAGTGTACACAGCATTCAATGCTTGGAGAAATTATAGACAATATCCGGACTCCAATAAAATTATGACGCATGGACTAATATATTACTAAGTGTTACTATATATTACTGTGTATTAATTAATACACATCAAAACATAATATTATTATTACGTATTGCTATGTATTAGTATGTATTTGTTATATATTATTATGCATTAATTAATACATAATTAAATATACAATAATATATAATAATATAATAATATATAATTCCCGCATGGCCGCATCATATTTTCATTTAAATCCAAATCCGGATGTGCACACATAATAATTACTTCAATGCTTGGTTTTTTAGAGCATACACTCAGTAATCAATGTTAGAAGTCAATGACATAGCAGACCTGACAGTTTTTAACGTCTAAACTTCTCAGAAAAAGAAATCAAATCCACTGAAGAGTATATATTAAAATAGTTACTATAAAAGAATGGGTAATCGAAGAAACTTACTATTGCTAAGAAAAACTTGTAGCAATTTCCATAATTAACAACCTTCTTCATTAATCATAGATCAGCAGCAAATAGAAACAATGAGCAGGAAATTATAACAGCAAAGTAAAAGATATGTTCAAGATCAACAGACTCAAAGCAATCAAAATTGCTAGCAGCTTTGAGATGAGAGCAGACCTGGATTTTTTTTCTTTTTAAAGTCGCTGGTTTTTACACAAACAAGAAGATTCATATCGATGAGAGATCCTCATAAACAGATTTGATTCCTGGTCTCTCTGAAACTGGACGGATACATCTCAAAGCTATACCCAGCATCTCCTTCATACCTTTCACAGAAGTCGAGTTCGATATATCCGCAGCCATGGCAGCATCGAAGCAATCCGATCCTCGACCTTCTGCAACCCTTAGCCTCACCCAGTCAGTCAGATCGATCCCACCCTCGTCACCCGATACCACATCACCTGCACATTTCCCAGTTATGAGCTCCAGTAGCACAACTCCAAACGCATATGTATCCGATTTAAACGACGGTGTTGGCTTCTTGGCTCCGGCGAGTTCCGGCGCACAGTAGCCCAGAACACCTGAGTCATGGATCTGATCGGTTGTTCCGGCAGGAGTCATTAGACGGTGGAGGCAGTAGTCCGACACTCTGGCATTGAGGTCGAGGCCATCTAATAAGATGTTGGTGGTTTTCAGGTTGCCGTGCGGCATGGCCCGGTCAAAATGGAGGTAGTTTAGCCCACGGGCAACATCGACGGCGATCTTGAGCCTCTGAGCCCAGGTTAGGGGCGGCCCCCTCCTACCAGGTCGATCTGGAAGAACAAACGAGTTGAACATTACAACAGTTTTGAGCTGTAAAGAGATGGAAAAACTCTTTTTGTACAATGAAATTATTACACATAGCTATAATGGCAATTAGTTCAATTGAAGGAAAGTGGTTAAAAATTTTAGCAAATGAATATAAAGAATGATTTATGAACAATTAAGTCTTAGAATAATCATATAAATCTAAAGAACAAACCCAATGATGAAAGCCAAGAAATTATTCTGTGCGGATGCCTATTCTTTGTTAGCAGCGACAAGAAATTATTCTGTGCGGACAATGGACTATCCTAAGGCGAATTAGAATGCATACGTCACCCAGTACATAATCGCAATACACAGCAAAAAAAGTGACATGGTTCGTTCTGATTCACCACCAGCCCGCACAGAATAATTTTACCAACTTAACAATAGGGAATATTTCGTAAGGACAAAAATGATCATGGTTCAAATGATTACTTCTACAAGTTAAATGAGACTTTACAAACTTCAACAAATGAATAGATGAGTATTTTACAGAGTTCAAGTTTTTACCACACAAAGATATGTTTCATTAAAAATATTATAGTAGCAAGCAAAAGGTAAAATAAATGATAAAGCAAAAGAGATCCATACCATAAAGAAAGCTAGCAAGACTGCCAGGAGAAATATAATCTGATAAAATGAGTTTCTCATGCTGTGTAGGTCCCCAATAGTAACCTCGCAATCCAACCACATTGGGATGCCGAATGTTTGCAAACTTTTTTGCTTCTTTAGTAAAATCCTTCTTTGGCTTTGCTACCCCTTCCCTCAGCCATTTTACAGTCAAGAACAAACCATTATCAAGTGTTGCCCTATAAGAAGTACCATGGCTACTCCTTCCTAATACTTCAGCTGGAGCCCTTGACAATTCTTCTGGAGTAAGGGTTATGGTCTCATCCAAGAAATGTAAATCACCAGCCAATCTATCAGGTGATCGAACATCCAATCTTGCGAGGTTTTCCGGCGGATACGTCTCACCGGAATCAGGCGACCATGAGATCCGACTGTTCTTCGATGGCGAAAATCCAACACCAGCTGACATTTTCTCTTCAGAGCCAATGATTTCAGAGGATGATTCTTTTCTTGGGGTGATCAAATCTCCTGCTGAAACAACCAGTGCACCGCCAGCTTCGCTGCCCTTTCCCCTGGAAGTATCAGGGGTGGCCATTCTATGTGCATTCTTGTCTACAACCCTCTCACTGTGGGATCTACTTGAGGTTCTTTTGTATTGCACAAAAATGAAAATGAGGATTAGTAAGATAAAAGCAACACAAGCGACAATTATCACTGCTTTGATGTAGGATCTGATGGGTTTATGTGTTGAACTTCCAGATGAAGAACCACCAGATCCAGGAGAGCCACCTGGAAACAGCAACTTGGAATTTCCTGGATGGAAAGAAGAATCTGGAAACTTCCTCAAGTTTTGTGGAACTATTCCAGATAGGTCGTTGTATGATGCATTGAAGAATATTAGGGTGCTGGGCAATGTTGTTGGCAGAGGGCCTGAGAAATGGTTCTGGGAAATGTCCAAGGAATTTAGGGAAATGAGTTTGGTAATGGTGGGAGGCAAATTACCAGAGAAATTGTTTGCAGATATGTCAAGCAATTGTAAGCCAGTTAAGAAGGCAAAGTCATCAGGGTAAACACCATTAAAATGGTTGTTGGCAAGATTAAGAACCTGAACACTAGGTTTATTCGGCGATGATGGAGAAAACTTGATCTCACCTGTCAGTAAATTGTTTTGGAGATGAAGCTCATGTAATGAAGAAGATGCAAGCAAATCAGGAAGGATAGGACCACTAAATTGGTTTGAGCTAAGGTCAAGAATAGTAAGTTTTGGGTACTGAACCAGAACCTCAGGTAGAGTATTCAGAAGTGTGTTGTGGGAAAGATTAAGATAATTTAGCCGTAGAAACTGTGAAGTTACTTCTGGAATAGGTCCTTTCAATTGATTCTGGCTAAGGTCAATGAATTCAAGGTCATTACTCCATTTTGCTGTGACTGATAAGTTTCCACTAATCTGGTTTTTTGAAAAATCAAGTGTTGTGCAGCTCCCAGTAAGCAATGGAAGTTCACCAGTTATTGCATTAGAGGACAGATTAAGTATCCGTAATGTTGTCGACGTTATCAACCCGATATGTCCTGCCATATGCAAAGCAACCTTGTCAGTCCCAAAAATGTCAGCTCCAATGCAAAAATTAATCAAATAACATATGGTAATAGGAATTTATATCAAAAGTAATGTTGCTCTCACTAAAAATAACAAATTCAACACATTCTTGTGTACATAGTAAGTATAAGAGGAAATTCCGACGAGGTGGTAGACAAAGATAAGATCTTTTCATGAGATATAACTAAGCAATTATGTTGAAAATGTGTTGACTTAGTGGATGAAAACAATATTTATCTAATCTTCGTGGTGATTTTATATATACACAAAGGTCCTTTGGGACAATAGCTTGTGATGCTTAAGGAACAGTGTCGGCATATAATTCTCTTTGTTGTTTTCCACCTTTCCCAATCCCAAGTGGCAGAGATGGGTCTCCCTATTCATTTATTTTTAAACTTTCCCATGAAAGCTAAGTATGCTCCCTAGATATTCACCCAAACTAATAAAAGTTTTACTTATACGGCTACACATTATCTTGCACATCAATAAAAAATAAGAATTATGGAAATTCCACTCTTCTCATAACACCAAGATTTCATTATGCAAAAATGCAAAATCTCAAAGGAAGCGTAGCATTAATTAGGCTTCATTTGCGAAAGCTTTTTACTGCTTCTTATGGCAACTTACTAGTACAAAAATTAAAAATTTTGTACTAACAATTTGCTTTAAGAAGCAGTAAGAAAGCCGCCCCAAACAAACTTTATTGTCAATTAAGCACGTACCTGAGAGATTATTCGCACTCAAATCCAATTCATTCAGCACCAAAGTATCACCTTTAAGGAGCCCATTTGGTAGAAACCCAGTAAACTCATTGTTTCCAAGCCTAAGAATCTCAAGGTCATACACATAATCAAATCCAGGCAATGGTCCTGACAACCGATTGTAGCTCAAATCCAATACTCTCAAACTCCCAAAAGTAGATAGCTCGCCTCCGTCAATTAGGGATCCAGTTAACTGATTATGGCTCAGATTGAGATACTTCACAGAATCTGACACCTGAGACAAAAATTTCATCTCATTTGCATTAGAACTTGTAAGAGAATTGCCACTGAAATCAACATTCAAAACACTAGTCTGCATCAGAAATTCCCAATCAACATCGCCATCCAATCTATTCCAGCTAAAATCAATGGATTCCAGACTTGATATCAAATCCAAACCACTTGGAATCCCCTTCTCAAATGCATTGAAGGAAAGATTCAAAGACACCAATAACCTAAGACCCTTCAAGGATGAAGGCAAGGAACCAGAAAGATGGTTATGGCTCATATCAAGAGATCTAACTGAATCAACATCTCCTATAGAATCTGGCAGCGGACCAGAGAAGCCGTTCCCAGCCAAAGACAAATTTTGGATGCTCTGAAGCTTCTCAATATCTTTCGGTATCTCCCCAGAAAACACATTGCAGGAGATATCCAAGTACTTCAAGCTCTTGAAGTCTCCCAGATTTCCAGGCAGAGTCCCGGAAAGGTTGTTGTTGGCCATGGAGAGCTTGAGAAGCGTAGTAAGATTGCCAAAGACTGAGAGGTCCACAGTGCCAGAAATGCCGAGGTTATCCAGCACAATGCCGGCAACACGATCACCGTTGCAAACAATGCCATTCCAAGAAGAAGGGCAGCCATTGAAGTCTATAGACTCTTCATTCCATGAATCAGAGATGTAACCAGTGGGATCATGCGTTATCCCTTTCTTAAACGCGAGAAGGGACATGATATCTTGAGAAGGTAGCTGAGATGAAACGGGAAGAAGTAAAAGGATAAGCGTTAGGGTCCCCCCAAAGAACCTCATTTTCACTAAAATCCTAAAGAGCTACTCCGGCATTGGCTTAAAAGCGGTGAAATATAAGATTTTTAGTAAGGCACTTGCAGAAGCTGAGAATAGAAGGATTCACAAAGGCTTAAAGAACTTGTTGGAGCAAGAAGAAGAAGAGTGCGTTAAAAATGATATAAACCGAGCCGCGAAGGATTATGAGAAGTAAGAAAAGCACTCGTCTTTCAACCCATCAGTGCCTTTCGCCATGGAAGAAGATAAGGATAGAGGATAAGCTGGAGAACCAGAAGAGCTTATGGAAAATGCGAGCTTGAAGAGAGAGAAAGAAACCCTAAACCTAAGCAGCGACTGTAGAAGACTGAAGCAGGAGAGGATGAGTGGTGAGCAGACACAGTAAGCAGGCGTGGGAAAATGGGTCTGGTTGCCATTTTCTCTTCCCGCAAATCATTTTTCAATGTTACTTTTACATATAGGACCCTACAAAGTCTTCTTTATGCAAAAGTTCATTTAGTAATTTACAATGTTTAAATGCCTGTAATAAAAACGAAGGGTTTTTGCGTTCATCGCTTTTTCAGGAGTTAATAGAACGAGGAGAATATACCTTTAATTGAATTTAAAAAATTATATTTTTTAAGTAAAAATGTTAAAGGAAAAAATCAGAATATTTTATTCTATTTCCAATCTGCAAAAATCTTAAAATTTAATGTACTTGAATATTATATATTAATTTTCAAATGAATTTAAGAATTAATAACTGTTATTAACTTTTGATCAGCTACAAATCTAAAGGCACGCTTGAATTAGAAGGTTCTAAAAGTAAATTCAAGACATATTTTGATTTCAACAAATTCATAATTAATCTGGTTGACTTGATGAGGCGAGTCCCATAACTCCAAAAATGACCAAATTCAAATCAAAACCAAGTTCACATCAAAAGCTTAAAATTTTATGAATTGTTTTAATATTAATTGGAGAACCAAATACTTTGCAAATTTGGCATGCTTACAATCAAATCAAGCATCTCAATGAGATGAATCCAATGAGTCCACTATCCTTTAATTCTGATAACATTAAGACAATTAATGTTGAACAAATATTTTATGATTAAATAAATCAATGTGAGTCATCTGATGCAATGTTTCAAATTTATCTTCATGTTTATGGGATATTAATTAGAATTGTAAAATACTTTAAGGCTCTATCAATCCCTTACAATGCTTAGATTTTATTTGATATTAATATTATAAAAAACCCCACTTAATATATTCAAGTATGCGTGTCAAATCAAGTAACATAGTGATAAAGTAGAGTATTGATCCCACGAGGAAGATATGCTTATTTGTAATTCACTAGTAACGTCTATTAATCTTACAATAATTATCCAACTCAAATAAAAATAGTTGTCATGGAGATTCAATCACTTAAATAAAATTAGATAAAGATAATGAATATATTATATAGATATAATATTTTGGATTTATGAATGTAAAAGTATATTTTTATTAATGATTCTCTTTTAATTGTGATGTTATTCAGAGCATATACATTCCTAGATATCTGTTGAGCTTATAGGAACAAAGGATGTCCATCGAATAAAAAAAAGAAGAAGATGTCCATCGACTTCTTATGGTTATTTCATCTCCTTAAGAATTTAATATGTTTCATACCCTATGTCTAGGAATGATGCATACTAATTTAATATTCTTGGTTATGTCTGCTTCCCTCCGTCAAGGCTCTACATTATACCTAATCTTAACTACATATCTAGCCACTATGTGCATTAAATTAAGATCTAATAATATTGAAAATATCATTTTAATCATTTATGGAATAAGAGTGCTCCTTAGTACTTCATATGATACTTACTCTTCAATCCAAAATGAGCTAATTTAGCCATGCATTGAAAAAAGCTGAAGCAAATTCATTTTTATTAATAGCATGATAGAAAGAAAATATAAGAGATATATATCACTAGATGGGTTCAATTGATCTCATCTACACTCATTTTTACTTATAGAATTGCTTCCACAAATACAAATCAAACATTTTAATGAAGATATCAAATACTTCTCTAAATTCTCTTAGTTGTCACCTTAAGAGAAATTCAGAGAAGTACTCTGAATTGTACTTAAATTTTCTAACTTACTAAACTCCCCTACAAACATAACACACTGACTATTTATAGGAAAACACAAATAGGCATCTAGCGATGCGATATTATAAAGATCGACATCGTTGCACCCAATAAATGAACTAACATTGTTGCACTGTTTTTCTTGTTCCGCCACGACATTTGCTGACGTGGATTAGTTACTTTGTGAACACTCACATTGTTTTGCTGACAGGCCATATCTTTGGAAAATTACAACTGCTATGTCGCGACACTACTGGCTTTCGGACCCTACGGCGTTAGAAGGGCAATTTGGGCCACCGAGGCGTTATTAATTGTGATGATGCAGCGCTAGACAATAGAACACTCAACGCTGCGAAGTTGATATTTGATTGTTGTGGTGCTGTCCGACAGCGAAGTCGACGTTGCAATGTTGATATTTTGGCGCTTCGGCGTGGTCTTTGATGGTGTTGTGACATTGTTTCTTCCAACGCCACGGCGCTATATGAAACTTAGAATTTTTTATGATTTTTTTTTAAATATTTTTCATACACAATACAACTAAAATATCACATTTATACTGAAAATATAATATAAAAAATAACACCTTATTTACACTTAACAGACATGCCACTCTAAAAACTACATAAATACACATCCCCGTTGTCTCTATATAAAGGGGATCTTTGGTTATTAATTTCAAAACTTATAGGCTAACAATCTTCGATCTTTGCCCAAGTATGATCGTCATCGAATCATCGCCCGATTGTTGCTTCACTACCCAACTACAACCATCCGTCCTTCGTTGTTTGAACATTGTCGTCGAATCACCAACCAACCAACGCCTGATCGCCACCTTCTAACTTTCAACTAAAGTTTCTAACATGATAAACGAGTCAACAAAATCCCCAAACCCTACCGGATCTCACTACCCAATTGCAGTCGTCATACTGCTGACACACGATCATTGTTGTTGGACCAACACCTAATTAATGTCGTCAGACCTTCGTCGTCCCAATGCCATTGTTAGACCATTGCTTGACCACTAACATCAAACCTTCTCAATTGCAACCATATGGAACCCCTTTCACCTTATACCAACTCCTCCATAATTTCTATTTGTTCTCCATACTCTTATAATATTGTTGTTTCCAAGTTAAGGGATGGAATATATTTTTATTAAATTCATTTTAGTTAGGTCATGTCCCATAATTTTTTAATTTTTTCAAAATTTTCGCATAAAAATTTAGGCGTCGCCACATTCTTTTTATTTAGCTATTTAAGTGATAAATTTTCATACAAAATTATGATGCAAAACTTTCTTATTTTGTTGTCACGAATCTTGTAAACCGCCACACTGATATAAATTTACATTGTCCAAACTTTTAATAAACCACTTAATTATATTAAATGAACCCCATCTAAACTCTATTAGAAACATGAGAGAACGAGCAGTTTGATAAAAATAAGTTAAAATTTAAAAATATTTTGCTGCCGAATTTATAACTCAAAATAATTTATCATTAGATATATGATTGATGGCATTTATATGTTATATATTATTTACTCAGTTATTAAGATTTTTAAGCTTTATTTTGAGCATTTTAGTGATACTTATATTAGTTAAATAATTTAAACTACAAATACAATATTGCCATAAGATAATAAAATATACATAAAAATATTATGTTTTTATTAGTTTTATTTACAATTAAATATTATGTTTTTATTAGTTTTATGTACAATTAATTATAAAAATGGTATGATTTGATTTGACTCTAGCTAAATTCAATAAATAGTTTGTGAATCAAGCTCAATGACCAAACAATCAAAGTTTAAGCCAATCTCAACTTAACTTGTTAGCTCGTGAGGTAGCCCATTTAAGAAATGTTAATATTAAATACACTTTAAAATATAAAAAATCAATAAGTTCAGTTTGCTAAAATTATTTAAAAATTATATTTCTCCTCCTTATTTCAGATGATTTATTATTATCTATCATTCAATTTTTATATTTTTTATTAAATTATTATAATAATTGTTTGAATAAGAATTATTTTTGTTTCTTTTATCATAAAGGAGCCTCCCTAAGAGTCAACTCATACTTGTAAAATCAAGGTCAAATGCAACCTTAAATTTGTTTAATTAATTAAACTTTAGGTCAAGCCAAGGGTGACTTGAGCTCAGCTCGACTGATTTAGGTTTTATTTGGGATAACTCTCTTATTATTTTATAAAAAAAAAATTAATACAAGAGTTTTTAATTCAAAATTTTGTTGTATTACAAAATTACTTTTAAAAATAATAAAAAAGCTATCCAAAAGGAAACCTTATCATCCAAATTTCAAGTTTAACACAACAAGAAGGTCATCATATCGGTAATCTATTATGTAGGGTCAGTTGTATGATTTTTTTTTTTTTTTTCATTTTGACCTATCAAGATAATTTCAAGTTTAATATTTAAAAATAATATTTGTATGTTTAAGTTCTATTTAAGTGATATTTTATAGATTACTTTGATACATCTTAAAATAAAATTAAGATGAAATTGAAATTTTATGAATTACAATTTAAGAATAAAATGTTTAATTTTAATTAAATGAATAAAAATGCAGATAATATATTTTAAAATTGATTTTATTTTTCCTATTTTTCAAAACTTTTTATTAAAAAACCAACCATTTTTCTTTTTTAATTTTTTTATTTAACTCTCTTAAGTTACATTTGGGCCGGCGCATCAAGCTTCAATGGAGGGCCCACCAGCACAGAAAGACTACTATCTGTAAATAAAGTTTTTTTGTTATAAGATATTTTTGAAAAAAAGGTACGTATGTAAATAAGATGTTTTAAATTAATGGAAGCGCAAAAGCACCGTTATTTTTAACGGGGCTTTACCCGCCAAAAACGGGTTGTCTCGCGGACCCCAAATCTGCTTGGGATTTAGTTAATTATAATTTATAGCGAATGCGGTTAAAGTCACTCCTTTTATTAGACTGCACGCCGTTTTGTTTTCTTTTGAGAGGTGGAAGGAGGTGAGAGACAACAGGACGTGTTCTCGTGATAGCGGTGGGGCCCACCCTGAGATTTTGAGTAGTGTTTTAACGAGAAAAAAATATATTAAGGTTATACTGATCAAATTTTGTCTAATAAATATATTTTTATTTATTTCTGTGATTTTATCAACTCTAGCAAATTTAATAAAAAAATATTATTTAATTTTATTGGTGGGACCCACTTGTTTAATTTTTATCTTAAATTCTTTGATTTTTTTTTTCTTTTTCTATGATGACTCAAATAAAATTTGAGCTTTAATTAAA